AATTCACTTTGAAAGCAATGAAAACGACATGTTGGATGATGTGGTGACACATGAGAGTGACCATGAGGCATACGTGTCTGTCAGAAGTGACCGCAGACTGGTCCACTACATAAGCGGGTATGTTGCAAGGAAATGCATCGTGCCGTTGCACTGTTCTGCTTGCGAAAACGACTTGTTGACTTCACGAGAATCTGAAAGTGCTATCGCACAGTTCACACAACAGTGTGATTACGGGGGCCTTTTGTACCCATCTTCGACCTTGTCCAACTTTATTGGTTTTCTCGAAGACACTTTCACTGAATGTTTTAGCACTCGCCGCGTGCACCATGACAGCATCATGGATGTGATAGAGCTTCTGAAGGTGAAAAAAGCAAAACTAATTGGATGCGAGGAGCACCGTGAACATGTCACGGCACGAGTGGTAGGTTTTTATGTGCTGACAAGACTGAGATTCTTTGTCAAAGCCTTGAATCGTGCACAGCCATCTAGGCGGAAGTCTGCACAACAAAGAAAACAGAGCAGGTGCTCGTAAGGAGCCAGGGTTGTTTATAAATGAAGAAGTGGCCATCAAAACAAATTCATTGAAAGTTCGGTTTCGATGTGCATTGGGAGTACTCGTGCAGTGCTACGTAGCTGACATATCAGCGATCAGAAGATGACAACGAAAGAATGGACTGACTTGCCCGCCGTGCTTGCTGTGCTCTGTGTGGTTCGGTGTTATTACACTCGCGAATAGTCATTTTACGTGACATATTTGTGGTGGAGCTGCTGGCTCTTCCCTGTACCCATCACGAAGCTCCACTTCGGACGTATCATCACGGGTCCAACCATGTCACAGGTTCAAGGAACATCGTCTTCACCACCCGCCTCTTCTGTGACTCCTACCTACGTTGTCGTATACCTCCTGCTCGTGATCCTGGCATATTTCCAGGATATATAGATCGCTTTGACGTTAGATATATATGGGGGGTTTAACGTCCCAAAACCACGATATGATTATGAGAGACGCCGTAGTGGAGGGCTCCGGAAATTTCGACCACCTGGGGTCCTTTAACGTGCACCCAAATCTTAGCACACGGGCCTACATCATTTCAGACCGCATGGGAAATGCAGCCGCAGCAGCCGGGATTCGATCTCGCGACCTGTGGGTCAGCAGCCGAGTACTTTAGCTACTGGACCACCATGGCGGGGCACGCTTTGACGTTGACAAGTGCCTTAACGTGTACGAACAGATCAGCGCCGGCTATAGGTGGGCCCGACACTCATGCTCGCCAACGTGTTTCTTTACCTTGATGGCCCACTGCAGATGTGGTTCCTGTAGGTTATTCGAACACGTTACTGAAATGTCAAGCTCACAAGGCTAAACCAAATTTCCTCTACGTAGAATATATAGTGTGACATTTACTGCGTTTGTTGTGGTTCGAGACGCACGAAGTCGACATTGCCAGCTGGGACACTTTCAAGGAGACGATCCGTGACCTTTTCGGCGACACTGCTGCACGGCAGACGACTGCACTAAATCAGTCGGCTACTCGGGTATAGGCGTCTACCGAATCGGTAGACGTCTCACGGTTACCCAGTTCTGACGAAGCCATTTTCGAAGTATGATTGGATCAGACCTTTCGCCTGATCAGGCCGATGCTCTCTGTCAGGTTTCGGACTCGATCACGGTGACATTTTTGGTATCCGTGGTCATCCCTTGGGCCAGACTAATATTGTCAAGCACCTAATTAACAATGGTGACTCTGCGCTTATCCACTGTCGGCCTTGCCGCGTGTCCGCATCAGAACGAGCAGTGATTCAAAAGGAAGTGGCCAAAATGCCAACGAAAGACACCATCGAGCCATCGTCGAGCCCTTGGGCCTTCCCAGTGGTCTTGGTAAAGAAGAAAAGCGGCTCCTGGCGTTTCTGCGCTAGTTATCGGCACCTCAAAAAAATTACGAAAAAAAAAACGTGTACCCTCTTCTCCGTATTGACGACGCACTTGACTGTCTGCATGGCGCCACCTTCTTTTCATCTCCCGACCTCCGATCTGGCTACTGGCAAATTGCTGTAGACGAAATGGATCGTGAGACAACTGCATTCGTTACCCCCTGACGGCATTTACCAATTCAAGGTCATGCCGTTTGGCCTCTGCAATGCCCCGGCAACCTTCGAGAGAATGACAGATACGCTACTTCAAGGATTTAAATGGGCGACGTGCTTGTGCTACTTGGATGACGTGATAACTTCTCACCCACCTTCGCCACACACCTTGAACGCCTTTCTACCATTCTATAATATTCCGCTCTGTCCATGATGTTCTCAGTTTCGTGGGCCTCTGCTCCTACTTTCGGCGGTTCGTGAAAACTTTGCGGCACTCGCACGGCCACTTACCGACCTTCTCAAACAAGATGCCCCATTTCATTGGGGCCCTCTTCAAACTGACGCCTTCTCTCAACTAATTACCACTCTCACGACAACCCTATTCTTGCGCATTTCGACCCCGATGCTCCTACAGAAGCGCGCACAGACACGTGTAGTCACGGCATTGGTGCAGTTTTGGCGCAAACTCAGCGGGGCAACGACCGTGCAATTGCGTATGCAAGTCGTCTCCTTTCGAAATCTCAACGCAAATACAGAGAAATTTCATTCATTGTTTGCTGTACACCTATGACTTCTTCGCCAGTTGAACACAACTTATGCGGATACGCGTTCAACGAATGATTTTGTACTATGTGCTAGCGTGTTTTTTATGTACGTCACTAACAAGACAAAACAAACCACGACCACTTGCTTGCCTTCGGCATAGCACGCTATACTTAGGATTAGGAGACCTCACATTTAAGCCTGACTGCGAAAACTCCCGTAGCTACCATGCAACCGCGGATCATTTCATGTCTACATTTTTGGCATCACGTCTGAATAGAACCAACGCACTTTCAACAAAACAAAACAACAACGACGACGACGACAATGGTTTTGCGTGATAAAACTATATACCGCGTGAGGCTCGCCGTATTCAGTGTAGCACTCTCCCAATTACGACCACCTGTGGTTCTTAGCGCCTACATCTAAGAACGCAGGCCTCTATCATTTCCACGCCATCGAAATGCAACTGTCGAGATCGGGATGCGATCCTTATCTGCGGGTCAGCAGCCTCGTGCACATCAATCACCACTGTGCCATTGACATCAAAACCGATTCCTTTACAACTGTAATGGGCAGGCCTGGTTGGTACACTACTGGAATGGTCATGACGTATCTGTCATTCTTACCTTGTGTCACGCGTCTTAAGCACTGTTCCGTGCCACCCCATCCCTACAATAAACGCTAGTGACCATCGGCCGTATGCACAAAGTGTGCACCACTAAATATGCTTTCAAAAGACAAAATGTATACGTTGACAAAAAATAGTTGTACAAGAAAAGTACATTTGTATTTCAATACTACTTCATCAAAAGCACAGGCAACCGGCGCGCTTTAGTTTTGCCGTTTAGCTGCCGCTGAGAGAGTTGAAAACGATGCAGGCGCCAATGACGCAAAAGCTAAATACAACAAAAAGCGCGCCGATCACATATAGATGCGCCCGCAAAACACAAGCATTGGTTTGCATCATTTATTTTCGCTGAGGGCGGCCATAATTATAAGATATATGTTCGCAATATCAGTTGTACAGGAATACTACATATGTATCCAAAATATCAACACGTTCACCTCTTTCCGCACACCTCGTGATCGCTTTACTCGAGCAGACAGAACATCGCTGCTTTACCAGTATTCAAACCTTCGCGACTTCCCGCCGACTGAAAATCGTTTACTTTCAGTTTTTCTTTTTCTTTTTTTAAGCGAGCCAGTGGGCGGCGACCGCAGGCGAGTGAAAGCACACCGTCTCTCTTTTATTCGCTAAAATCTCGCAAGCTATGCTTTTAAGTTTTCGTTGAATCCCGTGCGGTGGCGCTGCAAATAAATGCGCTTGCTGTCAAGTTTTTTTCTCCTTTACTTCATATCTCGCGTAATGTTTTGTAGCAATATGTAGAAACTGAAGGCATATTTAAAAAAAAAGCCAAACAATACAGTTGTACACGTGAAATTAAAAAAAAAATCTATGGTCACAGCGGTGATTCGAACCTGGGTCTTTTTAGTGGGATGCGAGCATTCTACCCCTCGACCACTTCGGCGGAGCTGCGCACGGCTCTTAAAACGACGACAGGTCACAGACTACCGATCGCAGCGCCACTAGCGGATTTGACCCCGTTTGGGCCTCACTTTTAATGCATTGGTGCTGCGGCCGGTCCGGGCACTCCCCTTGTTCTAGTACACTCTACTACTGATAATGGCTGCCATGATGTCATTTCCGCCACACTTTTTACGCCCTGCACCGGCTGGGCATGCCCTCTCCTTACCTTTTTTCTTCCTCCGTGGACAACATGGTGTTTCCCACTGCCATGATTCTTCGTCTTGCCTGTGCGGCAGCTGTAACCGAGCAGAGGCGACGACGCAAGGTAAGAGATGCATTTAAAGAGTTCAGCGAAGAAGAGTTCCGGCAATGTTTTCGTCTGTCCAAACAAACAGTGCGTAGCTTGTGCGACGAACTTGACCCCTGAACGGAACAAAACGCTCCGTTCACCCAATAGCCGCCTAAAACCGGGTTGACTTAGCTTAAAGTGTATAAATAAACGGCGACAGCATCGCTGTGTTAAATATTTTTAGGGGAAAGTTTAGGGGGTGAGAACGAAAGGTCCACATAATATGCAGTGTGCTGTGCTAGTTTCTTTTTTTTGCGCTAGTTTTTTTTTTACCAAAAATTTATTTTATAGTTATTTACAATAAAAACAAACCTAAACAATCTTTCCGTGGAATTCTTGTACTAAAATAATAAGACGACTTGGAAAGACGCCGCAGTTAATGGTGTTTTTCACAAGAAGCAAGCATCGATTACGAGCGGACAACCTTATTCTCGTTTGGTCGGTCTGGCAACAGTGACATTGCGACTTCTCTCTTTTCTCGCGCGCGCGCGGTGCAAGCCAGTGCAAGCCACCTTTCCTTCCTCCGTGGGGCTCGCAGTGTGGTGCACGTTTCTTTTGCGAGGTAGGCTTGAGCGACTGCGGCTGCGTGTGACGGCGAGCTGTAATAATAGTATAGAAAGTTCGGCCTTCTCGTTCTTTTGAAATTTTTTTGGCGTACAGTAGTTGAGATGGCTTTCAAAAAAAGTCCCGCCCAAGCTCAGAAGTCTAGCCCGAAAAGTGCCGGCCCGGTAAGCTTAGTTCCTCAGAATGACCACGTGTTTACGCAGCTTTGTGCGTTGTCGGTACACGACATCGCAACCGGCTAAGTTCACTTTTCTCGTACAGGCTGGAAAGAAGGCTCCTCCTACGAAGAAACCGTTAGCAGCGAGTCTAGATGATGATGACGACGACTTGGATGAGGAAGACGACGATTTTTCTATGGACGAAGACTCTGATCTCAGCGGAGGTAAGCGTGTATGGTCCACTCAGAGCTATATTCACATGATTAAGTGTTGCGGCGATGTTTGTGGAGTGGCTACTAGCGGTGCACAACGTGGTGCCTACTCGTATGTTGGCAGCTGCTTCTGACCACGTTGTTGCTGACACGTGAAATTTCGCGCCTACGTGATTGCTACTATACCGCATCTGCGGATGAATTTTTTTCTTCCATTGGAGTAGGTGCCTGAGCCTTTCTACGTCGCTGTGCTGCTAGAAATATTTCTGAAGAATCAAATTCATGTTCGACGGAATCGATTTTTCGTCTATTACGTAGTCTGTGCTCGCTGGCGCCTTGCGTAATCATGTTCTGATATCTGTGGCTACTTGATTTCGATGCGATTGTTACCGGAGGAGTGGCAGCTTAAATGTTATGTTGCGGAGCAATATGTTGGAGTTACGACCCACTGCGTGTGTAGTTCTGATGCTGATTAAACTTCAGGTGGTCGAAATTGGACCACGTGGTGCAGAAATGTCAATTTTTGCTGCGGCATCGCCGGCAGAAATGATTGTTGGCTTTTCCAGCGAAAACACGCGCTTACTGTGCAGTCTGAGCCGCAATTTGTGCTGCGACAGCGATGTCGTCAAAAAAAAATGCTAGGCTGATGCCACAACGGCACCGCGCGTTGTCATGTTGCATGCCAGAACCAAGTGCTACGATGCAAACATAACATGCTGTTGTCAGGTAGGAAGAAAACGCGGCGCCGAAGGCGCTTTGTCTCAGAGGCGCACATAACTCATCAACCCATCATCATCCATACGACTGTCCCGGCATGTCTCCCCCCCCCCCCCCCCCCCCCCCCGAGGGTCGTGTGAGGGGGAAGTTTTTGTTTCGGGCAGAAGGCCATACCCTGGCAAGGGGGCCGCCGCTCGGCGCCAGGCGCCAAACAGACGTGGCCTGCCTCCTAGAGTACAAGGCCGGGAAGACCCAACATAGGGGCTACCCTTGGTGCAGTAATTCAATCACATAACATAATTGCATCCACCGCTAGCTGGAATAGACTTGGAAGTGTGGGTCATACGCACCACGAAAACTCCGTGTAGGGCTGTAGTATCGTCATTTGGCAAGATTGTTCAGAATGACTTTGTGTAGCAGCCCATTAAACATTATTATGCACCTGAAAAAAAACAACTGTGGGATAAGATTTTCTTACACTGCCGTGCATTTTTCCGTGCGCTGATGTCAGATGTTTTGGATCCCATCAGCGTAGGAACTACTGGTGACCAAAAAGTTTGAAAAGACTGAAATATTACTATGCTGTTTTCGTCCGAGCGAAATAAAAAAAAAAGTGTCTGCAGTACAAAATAATCTGCCGCTTGTTGCTCCCGGCCAACCTTGGCTTGACATCGCTTTGACAGCGTCTGCTTATCTGCCAAGATGGCTTGTCTGTTGTCGCGGTGTGCCAGGTGGGCTTGATCCATCGTAAAGACGGGTATGCGCCATAGTGGGTGAATCCCACTACTTGCTACCGACCCACTAAACATGAAGGAGGCAACAGCTAGCCCGCCAAGTAGCTGACGATGTTAGTGGTGGTGCTAGTTCGAAGTTGCCTAAAGAGCGAGTGTGAAAAAGCACTCTCGCCCTACCTATGGATGACAGCGGTGCCCCTGCACCTGTTTGACCACTGAAACACGCCGGCTCTGAAGAGAGCACTTTCAGCGTGCTTTTGAGAATAGGTAACCAAGTTTCCTGCGGCGCCGCCACAGTAGATCACCATAACAAGGCTCGTGCGTAGTGATGGCGTTGATATACGAAGTGAGGCTCATTATGATCTGATCTCGTGTAACTCTACAAAATGCTGGTCTAAGAGTACAAGAGGGGATGAAGGGGCGCTCACCGTTGCTGCGATAGCGCGGCAACCCTAACCGCCCCTCCTGTTTGCTGGCGAGATAAGCGCGCGCGCAGAGCGGGGGCCAGAAAGGCGATGTTCGGCAGAAAGGGGGGGGCTAGCGCGTCCTTCCCCGTATATGTATACATACAACCGCGAAAACCTCCCAAGGCTGTCCATATAATTACTATTGCAATAAAAAAAAACTTAATCACGTGCTTGAGATGACTTGCCCATCACATCAATATTTAAAGTCTGTGCAGTATGCCTGCACGAATGTTCGCTTGGCGGTGGTTCACAAGTTAAGAAATTGTGCAGCTCGAAATCCAGTAGTGTTACAGAGAAGCAATCACAGGTAATTTACATGCCCCCGGAGCTTTCAGGAAAGCTGGCTTTGACACAGATAGTTTATAGGAGGGTTGCACGTGACTTTATCCGCTTGAGGCGCTAATGGCGTTTGCCTCTACCGCCATGTCAGTGGTCTGGGCGTGCTCTTTTGAAGCGGCAGTGAGAGGTTGTGGGCGTGCCACTACCTACGGTACCACCGTGGTGAAATGCGACTAAGTGCTTACGTGCGTGACTTCCGGGGTCAGGAGAAAATTCGCTACGAACATAAGGTTCACCTTTGCAGCAGATATTGACCTGTTCGACTTCAGCAGTGATGAAGCTGTGTGTGACGTGAGGTGTTATTCCCTCATCGAGCTCACGGACACTAAGGACCACCTTGTTGGTGGCACAAGCTTCGCAACAAGGGACAAACTTGAAGCCTATAAATCGATGGACGCCCACAACTATGTGACTAGCCAATAGGTCCAATAGCACAGAGTTAGAGACCTCGGAGACGGCCGCCGCGTCGTTATCGGAAACGTGACTGGTTCCCTTTGCTCAGTGCTCGGGACGAATAATTTTTGTCACCGCTGTGGTGTCACTTCACGAATTTTTTGTGTGGAAGGGCTTTACCATCTGCAAGAGCATGTGAGGTGATACAATTGGCATAGTTCGTTCACTCGTGGCTGAGCCCAAGCCCCTTGCGAACAAAAGTGCTCTTTGCTGCAGGGTCCAACGATGCACGTCGGGCAGTTGCGAGCCCAGAGATCACCTACGGTCTCGATTGATTAGATCCTAGCTGATCGACGTTAATGTGCTTAGCTGACCATTCTCTTAAACAGTCAGCGACGCAGTGCGCTCTCGTCAAAACGTAAGTAAATGAGAACGCACTGCGGCATGCCCGCACTGCGTCGCCGACTGTTTACTAACACACCGAAATCAGTAACACGCCTCATCTACCCGAATGATGCCGCTGATAAGCAGCGATCGTGAACAAAGTTTTTCACCACAAAAGCAAACTATGATGTAGCATTGGTTCTGAACACTTACCGGAAATGAAATGTTTAACACACAAGCGGTATAGTGTGTGGCTGAGCCATCCAAACCTTTTCCATTGGTTTACAATTACTTTAGGTGTGGAAAAAAAAAAAAGCTGACATCAGACGCATTCTCACGACCAAGCTTCTTACTCTAGTGGTTGTAGCGACCACATACGGCTCAGTTCACCATTATGGCCACAGGAATCTCGTACGGACACCCGTGAGTGTACGTTCTGCGACTGCTTGCCGGCGGCGGCCGGGAGAGCGACCACAAAGATGGATACGCTGCGTCTTCGACGCTGGCGCCATCTCGTTGGCCATGCACCTGTGGAGCCCTCCTATTCGGAGGCGGCGAAAAGCACCTTACTATTGTGTTTTGAAGGCCACTTGTTTTCATTATAATGCAACGTTAACATGAAAGCTCACTGCGTAGCGTTGATTCACCTCTGTATTTGTGAATAGAGGGTTTTTTTGTCTTTAACGTATCAATTTGGGACAGTTTCCATGTGTTACCCGAGAATGCGGCTAGCTTACTACAGTGATATATATATATATATATACCAATCTGTGATGAGAGGAAGCTTCAAAAGCGATGAACGCTACGGTAAAAGTGTTGAAAATGGTAAACAGAGAGAATGTCTGTTGGTTCTCCTTTTTGTCGGGTAATGTGCGGTGCCTCCCACATTCTAAGGCGAAATTATGTTTAACCAGCAACATGTGCAGTTACGTAGGTACTAATCGAAATTCCCAGAAAGTAAATGATGTGAAAGTGTTCGTGACGTTGCTTTCAATGTCTGACCAGCCTCTTCTATGACGTTGCGATTGAATCTTAAAGCCTTGAGGTACTATAGGTGTGCAATAAAACCCGAACAGGGGCAAACATTCGAAGTGTTGTAGTGTGCGCCGTCCAGTTATCAACATCGACAGGCGCGTATATGCGCAGTGCCACCAAACCACATGCGCACACCTGTCAGTTATGTCTGAACTTTTGCGAATGTTTGTCGCTGTTCGTGTTTCATTTGACATCAATAGTACGATGCGGTTGTGCTTTCGGCGGCAGCCTACCGTTTCGTCCCGTTGAAACATTATATCTGAACATGAGCCCGTTGTGCGTCTGCAGTTCGACGAGATTTTCGCGTCTCGGCCTCTATCAACAATGGCACGAAAATGCAGGGCTGTCGCCGAAAAGTAAACGATTAACAATAATTGTTGTGGTTTGTTACACACGTCTAGCAAGGCCCTGCTGATCTAACATCGGCGTGTGGCACTCGCAGGATTCCCTTCTACGTTTAGGCCTGCGACGCCTCAAAAGCCTGTAAGTGGTACATTGCGAATTTATTTGCAGGCCGGTCGACCCACGCAGGGTTGCACGTGTGGCGATGTGTGGCGACGCCTGAAAGGCCTGCAAATGGTACATTGCAAATTTATTTGCAGGCCGGTCGACCAATGCAGGGTTGCATGTGTGGCGATGTTTGGATCTGACTGACGTACTCATAAGAGCTGACATGGCCATTTGATTAAAAACTGACGAATATGTAATTAAATCTAGGGCAAGACAAGAGCTTACAAAAGCTAAGAGAAAAAATACAAATATGCACGATGAAAAGAAGTTACAACACAAATTATGCTCTAAAACAGTGGTTCTCAAATGGGGGTCTGCCACGAAGCCATTTCTGTGATCCACAAAACCCTCACCCGCATTTTTCTTTAAGGGTGACTGTGCCGTGTATTGATGAACTGTCCAAAACTAAGTGATGTGGCACGTTTGTTTGATG